ATTACAAAAAACATTTCAAAAACAAACATGTTTCATTGATATATATACAAAAATGAATATTAGGAACTATATTTATCAAACATTATACTGGGCAAGAAAAAATTGTTTCTGGGCAAATGAAATGTGAAAGTCACTTGCCCCTGCCAAGCCCTGTCATAGATGAGAAAAAGTAGGAAACTCTGGAGAGGGGAGTGAGATGAACGACATGTGGAAGGGCGCTAACATTTCCCCTCCTTGCTGTCACCACAAATCCACCAATCAGGGACTCGCATGCAGGCAGGCGGAAAGTGTTGCTGCTTGTGTAGCCTTTGACCTATTGTGTAAAAACCAGGGGGGCCGTATTTATCCAACATTAACTAGAATTAGTCCTAAAATAACAATAATAAAAAAAAAATATATATATATATGTTTTTTTGCTTTAGTCCCTGCAGTGGTATTCAGACTCCACTGAATTCAGACTCCTTGAAATTTTTTCACCCTTTGTTTCATTGCAGCCATTTGCTAAAATCATCATTCATTTTATTTCTTGTTAATGTACATTCAGCACCCCATCTTGACAGAAAAAAACAAACATATAGAAATCTTTACAAATTTATGAAATTCTAGATTTCTTTTATTAATTTTTTCTGTCTAGATTCTGCTAAGGGGAAGAATAGAGGTAGAAAGAATGATGAAAGAGGGTCCCCATGTCCTCCGGCAGCCTATTGCCCCATTTCCACCGGCCCTCTGAAACCGATCCGTTCACAGTTCGGACCGAGTTTGGTTCTTACGACCGTTTACACATCCCGCTAGCACGGTTCCTCGCCTCCTATCAGCGGTCCACAACGCTATAGCTCTCAAGGCGGGAATTACGCAAAGAAAAATGGCGGCGCCCATAACATTCAGGAACTTATGTGTCTGGATAGCATCCTCCGCCCACATTTCAATGAAAGCCTCGGTCTCTGCATCAGGTGGCACCACGCTCTTTTGATGCCATTTATTGTTAACAGGCGGAGAAGACGTTCATGTTGTGAACAGATGAAGAGATCTGTGAATCACAAAGCCGGACACGCCGGAAAACCTGCGAGACGAGTCAGCTGACTGTAAATAGGAGAGGAGGCAGTCTGCTGATGCGCACTTTATCAGAGAACCGAGCCACAGATGAACCGGGACAAGTCCTATTGATGAACTAGTACTAGAGTCAGTGCGACTTAGTTTGCCATGTGGGGTTACATATCAGAAGTCGGGTACTGAGATGAATGTTTAGAGTAAACCGCCCCTGATTGATGATCTAAATGCTTTGTATGTTTCTGTGCCTTTCTTCTGTAGGAGAACCATTTGAGTTTATCCCCCTGGAGTGGCTGAAGAAGTGGCTCGATGACTCCACTGCCACCAAGGAAATTGACAACTCCATTTTTCTTTGTTCTCATGGAAAGCTGCACCCAGACAAGATGGCAGATATCAAGAGGGTTTCTCTGCAAGCAGCCAAACTCTTGTACGAACGCTACGGTGGCGGACCAAGACTTGACAGTGAGCCAAACATTGTTTGCTCTCAGCTACAGAAGGGACCTTCTTCAAATGCTCTTCAAATGAACCTTTCTGCATCTTTGCAGGCTTTAACAACAGTAATGCTACGTTCAGGCCTTCAGTTTTCATGCTTGTACCAGTTTAGTTCTGACGCTCGGCTAAAGCATGTTTGCTGCTCTAGCTGCGCAGAGGTAAAAGTGGGTCTGATCCTTTCTTTGCCTGGAACAATGGCGGCTATATTAGCTGTGATCAGTGGGTAGAAAGTAGTTAGAATCTCTGTTGAAGTGAGAAAGTTCTCCTGAAAACATGGTCTGTACAGTCAGTTCATCCAGATTACCATCCTGCCTTCAAAGATTATTTCTCTGTGGGAGCCGCTCAGACCCCCACATACCGGCGGGGCGCTGTCACTGTTCAACAGCCTTCTGGCCCGCTTGCCCCTCGGGGTTTTCCACTACTGTTCACGGCAGCTGGAAGGCGGGTTTAATGTACGTAATCCAAACTGCAGGCACCAGGATAATAAAAGCGAACATATTCTGCCGGCATGTTTCTGCATTTTAAGTTAATTTAGGCATCAGCAGTGCTGTGTCTGTCTCCCTGCCAGCTCCCAGATCAGCTTCTCTGATTGGTTGATGTGGCGTCCAGCAGATAAAGTAAAATTTTTCCAAATGCAGCAGCTGCTGCTTCTGAAGCCCTACAAGCGAGTCAGATCCTCAGAAGCTCATGAGGCGCTGCTTCAGCTGCCCAGACGCGCCGCTGGACCTTTAGATGCACGTCAACCATTAACTTTGCATGTAAACTAGCGGTTTAAACGCAGCATAACTCACTTAAGATAGGGATGCTCTGAAAATAGTCCCAAACCTGGCTAAGATTCAGGGGTTTGAAGTAGAATATTTGTTTGTAGTTTTGTTTCGGTTAAATTGTTTGTTTTTTTCAGGTTGTTCTCTGTGTAGAGACTGTGTCAGCGAGCGGTGCAGGGTGCTGCGGCTAAAAAGACAGCTCGATGAAGACTACAAAGGGATTTCTAATCTAGTAAAGCGCACATCCAAGTAAGTAAAAAGCCCCCTTTAATTTAATTTGGTTGGATTTGTTTGACTGGTCTGTGCTCTCCTTCATTTTAAGAGTGTAGTTTTCATAAATTCTGTTTTTTGTTTTGTGTCTTGTAGTGGTGAAGGCTACTGGGTGGGAAAGGCATCTTTGCGTGGCTGGAGGCAGCTGGCTTTGGAACAGCTGGAAGAAGATGAGCATGAAACCAAACACAGCAATGGCAGGACCAACGGCCAGGGACCGCACGCTAACAGTAAGCCTCAGCAGACTGCTAGGGGTGTCCCAGTCAGCATTTTAGGCCTCCGATCCAATCTTTTTACCTCAAATCCGATCCAATGTAGAGTCCCAATCTGATATTCTGCCTTTAGTATTTAAATTTATAAAATTCAAACAAGTAACTCAATTGTTTTTAAGATTAATATTCCATCAATAAGGAATTCCACCAATAATTGCTATTATTATTGTAAATCCAATGAAATTAAAATCTTACTTAGAATTAAAGGTTTTGAAAATTTTAGACAAAAGTAAAAAGAAAAACACTAACTTGATACAGTGTTATCAGAAGGAAGTGCGATCCAAGATCCACTTTTAGCTTATAAGTGCTTAATATCAGATGCCATAAAGTCAATAAAAGATGAAGTGCACATTTAAAATGCTCTTGTTCATCTTAAATGGCCGTCTGCAATGTAGCGTCTCTATGGCAGAGCGTAGCGCGGGCTCAAAGCTTACAGAAGACTGGTCAGTCCCACGTTCTCCTGAGATGGGCCTGTTGTCAGGAGCAATAAACACGACCGACCTCTCTGTGCGCTCTTATTTTCGTTGGAGTATTTGTCTCTCCTCATAACGTCCAGCGTTTGTGGCTTTGCTTTAACAACCTTTCCATCTGCAGCTTTACGAAACGCTTTACACACATCGTCATGTTTTGTCCTCAGATGAACGAATAAAGCGTGTGGTGTTTGATGTAGCTCTGCTGCTAACTCCTCTTGAAATTGCCATGTTGCAGACATTGCAAGTAGCTTTAGGACAGTCTTCACTCTTGAGAGTAAAATATTTCCTCACTTCTGACATGCTTGCTTTGCACCGCCACAGAGGTTTCTGTTCACAGCTACTGTCAACCGCAACTAGCAGTTACTTTACTGCAGTTGCCGTAAAGATTGGCGCAAAAAGTCAGCTAATGTAGCAGAGCTCCGATCACCGGAAATTATCCGATCTCGAGATCGGGACATCCCAATCCTCACCTCCTTTGATACTCTCTTACCCCATTTACACTACCCTTGAAAAACCGATCCATGCCGAGACCGGTCCGAGCTCGGATCAGTTAACCAGGCCGAGCTCTGTTCTGATGACCGTTTACTCGACTCCTCGCCTCCTAGTGACGATCTGCGGTACTACTGCCAGTATTGAAGGAGGAAATCAAGCAGTTGGTGGCGGTAATGGAGCAAAAGTTGTTTGCCAACCGCCATAAAAAACAAGAAGAAGAAGACGACGAAGGAGGAAATCAAGCAAATCAAAATGGCGGCGCCCGTCATATTCAGAAAGTTATGCTTGATTATTATCGCTGTCTTTCGGTGTTATAATTTAAAATGTTGCGTGGAGAAGATTTCAATTATTGTTTATAGTTGAAGAAATTGTTCTTCTTCTGTTTCTGGAGTGGCATTACCGCCAACTACTGGAATGGAGTGCACCGCACTATATGGTGCGCCGCACATTTTGAGAGAAAAAAAGACGTTTATATGCGCCTTATAGTCGCGAAAATACGTTAATATAGTTGAGAAAAGAGAATGGGTTTTATATCTGGCTTCTTGTTTCAGGAAAAGCAATATATTCTTGCTTTGTTTTGCTGTTTAATTCAAAATAATCAGGGAGAAAACAAGGATAATTGATTTTATTCCAGGATATTTCTGATTTTCATTGCTTTTCTATGTCCTCTGCAGAGTTCAGCTCAGACGTCTCCGAAGGGACTGAAGACGAGACGAAGACGTTCAATGAAGNTTGGAGTATTTGTCTCTCCTCATAACGTCCAGCGTTTGTGGCTTTGCTTTAACAACCTTTCCATCTGCAGCTTTACGAAACGCTTTACACACATCGTCATGTTTTGTCCTCAGATGAACGAATAAAGCGTGTGGTGTTTGATGTAGCTCTGCTGCTAACTCCTCTTGAAATTGCCATGTTGCAGACATTGCAAGTAGCTTTAGGACAGTCTTCACTCTTGAGAGTAAAATATTTCCTCACTTCTGACATGCTTGTTTTGCACCGCCACAGAGGTTTCAGTTCACAGCTACTGTCAACCGCAACTAGCAGTTACTTTACTGTAGTTGCCGTAAAGATTGGCGCTACAAGTCCGTTACATTCAGAAAGTTATGCTTGATTATTATTGCTGTCTTTCGGTGTTATTGTTTAAAATGCCATTATTTAAAATGTTGCGTGGAGAAGATTTCGATTATTGTTTATAGTTGAAGAAGTTGTTCTTCTTCTGTTTCCGGAGCGGCATTACCGCCAACTACTGGAATGGAGTGTGAATCGCGATGTGCAGCCAGACGGAGATGACGCGTTCTGCTCATGCGCTCTTCTAATCAGAGAACCGAGCCAGGGAAAAACCGAGCCCACCTCTGGAACTGGTCTGCAGTTAGCTCGGTCCGGTTGTGTCTAGCTCGGTTCAGTTCAGTTTGCTTTCCATTTACACACAATAAGTTATCTCAGTTACTGAGCTCGGACCGGTCTCCGTAGTGTAAATGGGATATCTGATTCCTCTGTAGATATCTGTTAGCTGAAGCCCTCGGTGGAGGGGAAATCAATTCACAGCATGTTTAAAAGGTCCTGCAAATTCAAAAATTAGACTCCACCAAAACACATGCTAAGAAAAATAGAAGTTAAGAAAAGCTGCAACCAAGCATAACGGAAGAGCTCCACACCTCTAGGGGGATGCCCATCAGCGCCTATGAGACGAGCGCATAGACGTTACTATGAAACATGCGAGGCGTCAGACTCCAGTCCTCGATCGCCGAAGTCCACCTCTGCTTCTAAACATCGGAATCAAATAATTAGGTCCTTAGCAGTGGGCTAAGGTCAGTTCATATCAGGGAACCGCTGTGGTTAAATCTACGGAGATCGATGGATTTCACTCAGTTCATTTTACTTTGCAAGTAAAAAGAGAGCAAGACATCAACTTCCCTCGCAGCATGATATTTAGCTCTGTTCTGATCCAGACAGTGTTTATCTCTCCTTAATTAAAACCCTACAGAAAGGCTGTGAAGGTCTCCACACATAATGTAGGGAAATAATCCCTGAGAAAAAGTCCAGTTTGTTATGAGAACTATTATTTTTATCCCAAACACTCCCTAATAGGATAAAATAACTCCTCTCCCTTAGAAGCCTTTTAGCTCTGAGTCCTGATTGAACGAGACTCAGCCCTAAGAAATCCTTTTATGTAACAGGAAATTAATAGGAGATTGATTTTTCCCCCCACACAGCTGATAAAAATTAGTTTCATGTAATAAATGGAAAACAGACTGAAGATGGATTAATCAGAACTGTTATGAACCGTCCAGCTCTAGATTTCATAACTTATAACTTTTAGTTTTTTGGCGGCGATCTCAGCGGTGGGTGCCGAGGTCCTGCTGGGATGAAGGGTTTATAACACGTCTCCTCTGACCTGCATGTTGGCCTCATGTCTCATGCTAATATGAGGATTAGACTCACCTTAAAGGCACACTGTGTACCTTATGGCCACTAGGGGCGCTAGACTTTTAACTGCCCGCATTTTGCTTCTTATAAACAGAAAATAATAACAAAGATCTATGACTGTATACTAAGAACAAAGTGTTAACTTACCTGTCTAATACCGTATTTTCACGACCATAAGGCGCACTCTCAGTTATGTGTCCCATTTCTGTATTTAACACACAGATAAGGCGCACCGGACTATAGGGCGCGGGTTTTATATACCGGTAAATATCCTCTACTACGTTTAAATACCTCTACTGCGTATTTAAAAATAGAGTGGGAGCAAAACTGTAGGGGTGTGCATTGGCACTGCCCTCACGATTCGATTCGATTACGATTCACCAGGTTACGTTGCGATTTAATTCGATTCTACGATGCATTGCGATGCATCAAAATCCCATTGACTTCGTAAAATCCGAAATGTGCCCAGATATCCGCTTTCCAAGCTTTG